AATGGAGCTTCCACAAGAGAACTCCCAAAAGACCTGTGTCCCTGCAATTTAAAACATCAAAAATGGTTTGATTAAGCATACAACTTAATGTTATGAAGGTAGCTTGTTCCTTAGACTTGCTTGCTATCCCTTGCATGTTTCACTACTGTGACTAATATGCCTGTTACCACCAGAGAAGTTGGAGAGGATGCGTATTTATTTATTTAAAGAAATTTTATGCCACCTCTCCAGGAAACCTGCCTGAGGCAGCTTAAAAAATAAAACAAAATTAATACATATAATATAAAAAGTTATTAATTAGCAAACCCAGTCTGGCATAAAAACAGATAATTGAGTAGCTTAAAAATAATAGTTTTCACATTCAAAATGGATTATAAAATGGTGTTAGATCACCTCCTTAATTAAACAGAAATGTTTTGGTCTGGCACTGGAAAAAAGAGTAACACAGGTACACAGGTGAGTCTCAAGGAAAAAGGCATTCCACAAGTGAAGTGCCACTACTGAAAACGCCCTGTCTCTGGTTGCCTCCCACCTAGGGTTACCATTCCCCTGACAGGAGTGGGGGTTTACCCGCTCTTGGAGCCCCCAGTCCACCCCCAGAGAGCCCTGTTCGTGCCAACATGCTCGGTGCAATGATGTTGCACAGGGCACGTGGCAGGGGATGCTCTAGCATTTGAGAAAAAACCATAGAGTTTCCCCTCAAACACTGGAACATCCCCCCACAATGTGCCCTGTGCGATGACATCACTTCTGGGTGATGTCATTGTGGCATGCACGCTTTGCATGCACTGAAAACTCCGGAATGAGCAGAGGGACCCCTCCCCACACCAGTTGCTAGGTAAGACCTGGCAACCCTACTCCAACCTCACCTCTGAAGTCAGGGGCACAGAGCCAAACTATGTTATGGGCAGACACAGGCCTGCACAGGATAACCCGTTAGACAACAATTTGGCAATTTAAAAATTGTTGTGAGGGCCTGATCCTGATGCAATCATGTTTGCCCCCGCACACCTTTTCAAGTGTCATAATAGTCATGGCAGAGGGCTGTTTTGGCACTTGAAAAGGCGAGGAGTGGGAAAACAAGATCACATGGTGCCACCTCACAGCAGGCCCATGATCAGGCCCTCACAGAATATTTTAAACGACTAAATTCTCATCTAAAATGGTGTCAGTAGCCACAGATTGTCCTGTGCCCCATAATGTGTAGTTTGGCTCACGGAAAACAGGACTTGTGAAGCAGATCTTAACTGGTGGTCTGAACAATATGAGAGGAGGCAGTCCTTCAGGTATGCTGGCCTCAAGCTGTGTAGGGGCTTAAAGGTAAGAACCGACACTTTGAATTGGTCCTGGAAACGAATGGTCATTGCTCCATTTTGGACCAACTGAAGTTTCCAGACTGTTTTCAAAGACAGTCCCACATAGAACGTATACAGAATCTAATCTGGATGTAACCAGCACATGGATTACCACGGCCAGATCATGCTTTTCAAGGAAGGGCTGTAGTTGATAAAAAAAGCCAGGACCCAGCAGCACCCCTAAGATATGAATTTGCTCCTTAAGGGGAATACGGCCCCTCCACAACAGGCAGATTCTTCAGTCTTTGAACAGCTTTGACATTGACCAGCAGTACCTCAGGCTTGTCTGGACTGAGCTTCAGTTTATTGGCCATCATCCATTCCGTTACCATTTCCAGGCAGAGGCACTTCCAGGGATGCACATCCCCCGACACACTCCCAAAGAAGACCAACAGTTACACTGACCAAGGCTGTTTCCATCTCAAATGCAGGCCTGAATCCTAGTTAAAATGGACCTAGATAATCCACCTCCTCCAAGACCACCGGAAGCTGCAAAAAAGGAACATTAGCCCCCAGGCAGTAGCTGTTTAGGGTAGTGGGGTTCGGGAATGTCTTCTTCAGAGGGAGTCTCACAATCACATCTTTCAAGGCAGTTAGAACTACACTCTCCCACAGAGATACATTTATTACCTCGGCCACCTCAGCCTGGCTCAATGCCAATAACCATGAAGGGCAACAGTTGAGTATAGACATGGCAACCCACACACTTCCAATCAGCTCGGCCACTTCATGAGGCCTCACCACCTAAAAGTCATCCCTATGACTATGACAAGACTATGCTCGAACTAAAAGTCATCCCTTTGACTAGGGCAAGGCCATGTTCCGATGGCATCCTGAGTGATTTGGTAAAACAGCAGACATGAAGAGTGGTTCTTTGTAGGGTTTTATCAGTGCGCACGTGCACATTGGTAATGTACAGAAGTTAAAAGACAAGAATGCAGTTAAGAAAATGAAAGACGAGCCAAAGCACATGGATACAAAATTCAGAAGTTAAAAAAAGAGTCAGAAGCAAAAAGTCAAAGCATGGGAGGATTCTTCTCGCCTCAGTTCCATTTTAGAATCAAGATGGGACTTTTGCCACACATCTTCATTGGCAGTGTTCCTTTAGCTGTTCGAGAGGATGTATGATCTGATGGAGTTGGAAATAAAGAAAAAATAAAATATAATCTAATTAGATTAATGGAGATGGAAATAAAGAAAAAATAAAATATAATCTAATTAGATTAATGGAGATGGAAATAAAAATTAAAATACAATAAAAGCGGGGGGGGGGAACTGGGCAGGGGTGGTGACAG